TTATGGTCGGTGGGTTAATGGTCAGGTATTCATCCTACCTAGCACCCTGCCTGCATGCCTACACACCTGGGACAGTACTGTTATCACTGCCTCCCACATCATCTTGGCACCATGCCATTAAGCATATTCATATATGATTCAGGTATATACCTAAAATACCTAAATTTATCCTTGTCCATGTGTGCACACCACTGTCACCCGTGTCACCTGGCATTCCTTGACTGCACAAGGCCATCACACCTGTCACCTGTAATCTGCATAAACCTTCCTGCACAAGGCTGTCACCCCTGTCACCCGGCATTCACAACAATGTTTGTGTCATCAACGTCAGCGTCACCACCCGGCATTCACAACAATGTTTGTGTCACCAATGCCACCAATGTCAAGCAGCATTCACACAAGCCTGCACGCTTTGTTGTCACGCAGCATTCACACATGTGTACCCAATTTGTCAGATCTGTCACCTGGCATCCACACAAGCCTGCGCGCAATGTTGTCACCCCTGTCACCCACCATCCACAACAGCCATCACGCAATGTCACCCCTCTCACTCGGCCTTTCAATGTATTATGGGCCCAGAAGTCCCACTCTCAAGCCTGCGCGCATTATTGTCACCCCTGTCACCCAGCATTTCATGCAATTGTCGCCCATAAGCATAAACCAGGCCACCAACTCACAAGCTTAAATGCAACAACTTAAAGGCAATACTAGCTACACAAGCTATGCTAGCCCCTGCCCCTGCCCCTGCCCCTGGGGGGCTTTGCTCCAAGCCCTTTCCCTTGCTCCTGGCTGCCTCGCCCCCTGCTTCTGCCCCTGCTGGGGGTCTTAGCTCCTTCGACACACAGGCCGTACGCGCCAGTATCCACTAACTCTGGAGCAGAGGTAGAAGCCTTTACCCTCTTTGCCGGCTGTCCCCTGGCAGACTGCTCCATCACCACAGGCCTGTTACCACTTGGGCGCTTAGGGTGCTGTTGCACACTCCGCTGCTTTCCACTTCCACCCACCGTCTTCTCATCCAATTCCTCCTCAGACAATTCGGACTCACTCTCCTCCCCCTCCCCTGTGTCAACCTCACCCTCTTGCTGGGTGCACTCCGGGCTACTACCCTCACTCTCATACTCCTCCTCATCCTCTGACAGTAGACGCGTCTCTTTTCGTATCCGTGCGAATGCCGGCTCTGGAAGCAGGCGCCGGCGGCTAGGTTCATGCAACTGGGCAAGAGTGTCGTCCATCCAATCATCCGCCGGTTCCTCTCCTACAGTTCCTGTCATCACGTCCACCTCCGGTCCCATATCGGGCACACCATCTCCTTCTGTGGGGTTGACCTCCAACTCCCCACCTGCAGAGTGTTATACAATAGTGAGGTGATACAGTACATAGGACAATATACTAGTTTTCGAAGGGCCTTACCCGCGGGTCCAGAGCAGTAGGGGCCCTCATGGTCGGTCTTGTGGATGATTTCAGCACTATGAACTTATTTCAGAATACAGGACTGACTCTCTGTTTCCTGCTTGAACTATGTATGGAAGGGGCAAACCGCTGTAACTTGTGCGTGTTTCTGCTAAGTTTTCCGCACTGTTGCATTCTCAAAGCCATTCTTTCGTAAAACCGTCATAAGAATGCTTGAGACTGGCATAAGATCATTCTCAGCAGCACCAGCATTCTTAAGCCGTTCTTAGCATTCTTAGCGTTCTCAGGAACGTTCTTTAGCACGCTTCCATTTTGGTAGGGGGACACAGTGATGCTAAATGGAATGTCTTCACAATATACGGCTAAAGTAATTTAGCCAAACAATTTAGTGGCTCCTGTATTTCAATTTCGATTTGTGTGTACGGTCATCGTACCTATCTATGAGTAATTTTTAGCATTACTCATACTACATTCTCATCTTAGATATCTCAGTATTAATTTCATTTTGGCTCATGCCAGGTTACCGACATCGGTTACCGATTACTGGGGACGGTTAACGGATAACGGTTCGCCCGGTAATCCTACCGACCGGTTACCGATCTCGTTAACTGGACCCGTTAGGTCGGAACCGGGCCGGAACCGGCCTGGAGTATGCCATAGGGCTGACCGGTACCCGAACCCAATCCCTATTCTTTGCACCCCTCTGTTCTTACTTTCTCTATGTATGCACGTGCTATATCTGTATGTATCTGTATGTACTAGATGACGTCTGTGAAGGTTCTGTGAGCGACAGGCACATAAGCAGTACATGTAGCAGACGCATCATGATGCACCCAAGACGTAGCCAGATATGCAATATGGCTGAACGCCGGATGGGGATGGGACATGCATGGCACAAGTACGTTCGGGCACGTATCTATGCACGCATGCATACACCCTTATCTGTATTAAGCAAGGGGTGCAGGAACCTATGCATGCAATCTATCACAGGCGGACCTCGGTTGCAACAACTAGTTGATGGTTTTGATAAGATGACGTGCATGTTCTGTGTTACTGTCTCCCTTAACTGGTTCTGGTGGCTGAGGATTGGCTGACCCGATGGTGCTGAACGGTGCGGTTTGGATGATTTTTTGGCGAGAATTGCACCGCTGCCAAGGGCCTTACACAGCAGGAAGAGCAAACAGCCAAGCCTATCAGTGGCCGCGCGGCCCAACCGGCCAGCAGGCCGCCCGTAGCCACGGGGGCCGCGCGGCCGACCACGGCGCAACACACCAGACAGCCAACAGTCCGGAACACACCGCGAAAGGGTGCCGGTGCCCAACACCAAAAAACCAAAGCATTGCTGACCTTAAGAAGCAGAGGCACTGCAGCACCCGCGTGCCCCAAAGACCTTCGCACCAGACAAAGCCCGACCGACTAGAAACGACCAGGCACCAACCCCATGGGGTGTTCCCCCTCATCCCGGTTGCGGGCGCCTCGGCCCGCCCCCTGAACCACCCCCCTCCCGCACGCGTGCTGCCTCCCCCTGCCACCATGCTGAAGGGGGGGGGCGCCTCTCAGGAGCCCGCCGACGCCAGGCCGAGCCAATCAGTGCTGCATCTGGGGCAAGACTGGGGATAGCGGAAAAAGGAAGCAAGGGGCTGACAGGGACAGGGCGGGCGGGGGGCAAGTACAGCCTGTCACGCTGACTATTGGACAAGGCTGTATGCTCTTCTGCGTGAAGGCAGAATGACTTCACCAGGAGAGCAGCAAGAATGAAGTCACCACTGCGAACCAGTTGTATGACAGTACCACAGAACCAGCCTTAGAAGCTCCAGTCGCTTCACTCTGTCGCGTCTAAGCCAACAATTCTGTGTTACTGTCTCCCTTAACTGGTTCTGGTGGCTGAGGATTGGCTGACCCGATGGTGCTGAACGGTGCGGTTTGGATGATTTTTTGGCGAGAATTGCACCGCTGCCAAGGGCCTTACACAGCAGACCGAAGAGACATTTGCTCACTGGCGAGGCCCAGGCTGCGGGAGACAGAGAGTTTCGCCTCCCCGTCACGCCACGTGTAGTGCTATACCATGGCGTCGCTGCACCACCGGCCGTGCACTTTGCGCAGGTCCTCAGGCACACTGCGGTCGGCGGCAGTGCTATTTCCTCCTATGCGCATGGAATGCGCAGTGATGCGGCGGGTGATCCCCGCCGCCTGCAGGGTCTTGTTGAGCCGGTGGCAGAAGGCAGGGTACGACAGGGAGTGGATCGGCTGGGCCACCGTGCCTGTCAGGGGGCCTGACAGGTACCCCCCGGCCCTGTTCCACTGGACTGGTCGCAAAAGGGGCCCGACGTCCTCGCCCGGCGTGTCTGGGCGGCGTTTGTACCGTCCTAGGGTGAGGAGGCGCTCCATCAGGCCCACGGGGCAAGCGGCACCACCGACATGGATGATGGGACCCAGTGACCCTGTCTCTGCTGATCGGTCTTGGATCGAGGGATGAAAACATCCATCCCAGTTGCCGTGATAACCAGATAGCCCTCGTGAACGCTTATCTCCGCAGCATTATCGAACCGAAAGAACCCCGTGAACATGACCACGACGGCCATAACGGTCATCAGTTGGTCAAGGAGCGGCTCCAGCCCACTGACCAGCCGGGCCAGCACTGTGACGTCCACCGGCTCCAGGGCGTCGCGTTCCAGCTTACGGCCTTGGAGTTGCTTTTTGGCGAGGTCGCGGACGATGCTGCAGGCAGGGTGCTCTGTAGGGGGTGCTCTGCCGGCTAGGCGGAAGTAGGAGCTGATTGCTGCACTCGCTGTACGGACCCGTCCAGGCCCCACCTTATCTTCCTTGGACGAGTTCAGCAGGGAGAGCAGATAGCCCAATGGCATACTCCAGGCCGGTTCCGGCCCGGTTCCGACCTAACGGGTCCAGTTAACGAGATGGGTAACCGGTCGGTAGGATTACCTGGCAAACCATTATCCGTTAACCGTCCCTGGCATGAGCAAAAATGCATTTCTGATTGCAACCAGTTTCTTTGTGACAATGCCCATTGTCACAAGGTTCATGCCCACGTGTCACACCCCGACAAGCTTGAGGAGGTTAAGGCAATGTGAATGCCGGGTGACAGGGGTGACAGTCTTGTGCAGGCACATTTGGAGACTAGTTTACACTGAGATTGGGGTGATGTTGGATTAGAATACTTGCAGTTCATGAAATTGAGGAAATGTGTTGCATACGCATATCCAAACGTTTCAGAGGGACGTTGTTTCGCCCATAACAAACTTGTTACGGGCGAAACAAACTGGATTTCCACAGTCCCACCACTCAAAGAGCTCCCCACACCATCGCAAAGTCCCTTTTTTATTACAGACACATGTAACAAGTTGTCATAGCTTGAGATTGTCGATATATGACTGCTGGATTGTGACCAGGCCATCTCCTTACATGTCTTGCTGCACCAGCATGAGCAGTGATCCCTTCTGTTCAAAATTTTCAGGCAACATCGCAATGAGGCAAAACATTGTGCCGAATCTGCCGTACAAAGAGTGTTCAAAGCTTCACGCTACTAACGGACGAATACATAAGCATTCATTTACCTTGAAAGAATAAAGGAATTCTATAGCTCCATACAAATTCGCCTATCAGCAACTCTCCCTGGTCGTTCAAAAGTTGCTTGAAGATTCTACCATCTCCATGCTATGAAGGAGCGCTTCTTCATTTCTTCATTTCATCTGAACCTTAACGTATCCTTCCAACACATTGTCCATGGACAACGGTAATGAGGTCGGCGCCTACGAGTTTGACCGGAACACCCTGGACAACATCGCCCGTCGGCGACAAGATCGCCCACACAAGAAATACAGCCAGCATCGTCCAGTGGATGAGTTTGGAGTACATAAGTTTGCCAGGGCAAACAATCTAAGTCAATTTACCGCGTGCCTTGGAGGATGCCTTGTCCAAGGAAAGGTGCCATATGGACGACCTTGTCAACCTATTGCGCCAATCTAGTGACATGGACGCAAAGCAGTTGCTTGGGGACATCGGCCGAAATGCCGGGACAATGACTTATTAGGGACAATGACACGGCATTTCACGCCCTCAAAGCGGGAACAAATGCTAAAACTAAATACATACATAGTTCTAAATCTTCTACTAAAATTTTCCTGCAGCTTTAGAGGCCTTTAATTAATATTGGCGAACGATGCTTCCCGAGCTACTGGGATACTCCCTATGGCATAAACATGCCGGTTACCGACCGTTTGGGGCCCATTAACCCAACCGACCGTTAACCCAACTGATCGTTAACCCAACTGGCCGTTAACCCAACCGACCGTTAACCCAACCGGGCTGTTAACACCATTCAACCGGCTGGTTGGGTTAATGGGCCCCAAATGGTCGGTAACCGGCATGTTTATGCCATAGGGTAGAGCGCCACCACCTCACCCGGGGTGTCATAGATGCTTCCGGGCAGTCGCCTGGCCACCCACCACCCGTGGAAAGGTTCCCAAGACCGCGCGTAGTCATTGGACGTCCGCGGGGCGAGTGTCTGACCGGCCACTTGGGCAAGCTGAGTCGCCAAGGTGGAGAGCTCCACGTCCACCTCCGCGCCAAGAGCAACCAAAAGAGCCTCAGCCCGGGCATCTAAGTCTGTGCAAGGGGCGCGGTCGGATCAGTGGGGACACGGATACGGTTGATATTAGAGGCCAAGAAGTCGACCAGAAGGGCCAAGGTGGACCAGCGGGAAGCGCCTTTGGGCAGGGGGACCCCCGAGTTGCGGGCCAGGAAAACATCCGCGCCCCGGCCGAGCAAGCAAACTCCACTCATGAAAGGTTTGAACCAGACCCCGTCGGCCGTGATAAAAGGCCACCAGTCGCGAGTAGGCCAGAAAGGCGCGACAAGGCAGAGCCGGGACTGGCAGGCCTCGGCGTGCTGCAGTACCTTGAGGAGGAGGTGAAAGGGCGGGTTCGCCCAGCACCTGCACCCCCATGAGAACCTGAACGTGTCGACTCCAGACATCGTTGGAGTGAAATAGCGGGAATAGTACACGGGGAGCTGGAATGTCTCGTGGGACGCAAATAGGTCGATGTCGAAGGGGCCCCAGGTGTCATAAAGCCTGCGGAATATGCTGGGCTTCAGCATCCAGTCATCAGGGTCTTGCAGTTTCGAAAGCGCATCGGTGAGCTGGTTCTGGCTGCGGGGTCGCCACTCCACTTGCAAGCGGATATCCCGCTCGAAACAGTAGCTGTGCAGCTCGCAGGCGACCTTGTGGGAGTTGTCTGCTTTAGCGGAGCCCTTGTTGACGACATTCGCGGCATTAAGGTTGTCGGTGATGACTTTAACCGACTGACCAGATAGACCGGCTGGGCTATCGAAAGATCGAATCACGTTCAGAATGGCCTGGAGTTCCTGCGGGGTAGACCCCATAGTGCTGACATCGGGCGTCCACTCACCGCGTGCTGGTGCTAACTGGCCATTGAGGATTGTCAAGGCACCCCAACCTCCGAGTGATTCAGAGGATTTACCAGCGGCGTCGCAAAAAATGAGGGAGTGCACCACGGACGGAACCCACAGGTGCCAGCGGCCGTTAAACTGATCAAAGGACGACTCCCAGAAAGACAGCTCCTCCCGCGCGTCATCAGAGAGGGAGAGATGGGTTTCCCAGGTCTGCCGAGTTTCAATAAGTTGACCGAGAGCTCGGGTGTGCAGCCGGGCCCAAGGTCCGAGGGCCCAAGACATGGCCAGGAGTTGGCCTTAAATGGATGCCAATAAGCGGGCGGTCGAGCGCCGTGCCGTGAGCACGCCATTGATCTTGGATAGGAGGCGGTCCTGCTTGTTGCCTGGCACGATGAAAACACCGTCCTTGGTATCGATGAGCATGCCCAAGTAATGAATGCGATGTTGCACGGCCCCCAGCATAGATTTCTCTTTATTGACCAGGAAACTGAGCATCTCCAACTGAGCAACCACTTCGGCCCTGCACCGGACCAAGTTATCGGTGTTCAGGTCTGCGTGAACCTGATCGTCTATGTAGCCCGAGCATCGCCAGCCGCGCTTGCACCAGGGGTGCATGACCTCTCGCATGAGCTTCATGAATGCCCAGCAAGCGGAAGTGAGGCCGAAAGGCAGCTGTGTGAAGACATAGAAGACCCGTCTCCAGCAGAAGCCGAGATATTCCCAGAACCTGGGATTGATATCGAGGTGATGATAGCCACTTTTAAGGTCCAAAGTAAAAAGGTAATCGCCTGGGAGTAGCCAACCAGGAACCGCCTTCAAGTCTTCATAGCGGAAGGAGGGGACGTGCAAGTAATCATTTACTGGCCTGCCGTCCCAAATAAGCCGGAGCTTAGTTGCCTGCTGCACGACCCTCAACGGGCAAACCACACGGGGCTGCGATGGCCATATGCGGGCCGTGCCCGACGCCACCAGATCTGCTACGGCTTTGTCCACGAACACGGTGTTGGTGGTTGCCGAAGCATGATTGCGGCCGGAGTGCTGGGGGGGAGGGCTGGAGACCCAACGGAGTAAGAAACCCGACATGATCCACGAGATGACCAGTGCATTCACAACCCAAGTCTTCCAAGCGCCTTTCTTGCCCAAGAGGCGTCCCCTCATCTGGGGCAGCACGGAAGGCAGACCCGCTACTGGCATCGACCGAAATCCCGAGGCGTTGTCGAAAGTAGGACTAGAAAACTCCCCTTTATCCTTCCAGAATTCGCCCGGGGCCTGAACCTTCACACCTTGTGGCGCCACCGCGGGGCGGGCTGGTTGTTTCCGATGCATGGCCAAACTTGCCGGAACTGGTGCGGGGTCCAGGTTTGGCCGACGGGCAGGGACAGGGCCCGGTGCGGGCCGTTTGGGGGCTGGCAAGTCTTCGGGGGCTGCGGTAGGTGGGCCGCACGGCTGACCTAAAAGATGTTGCCCTTTGAATTGGCTGGTGTTGCGACTGACGGACAGCTGGACGTTTTCCACAAGGCCTGGACTCGAGAGGGCCTGTTGTAGCGCGATAGCTACACAGTAATGATGAGCTTATCACGAAATATGCGAATCAATTATGATCATGAAATCTTCTGAAAACTGACCTGGCTGTCAAGAATCGTTTGTAAGAATTCACTGGAACTGAACATCATGAATCTGTACGACAGCCTTACCGAAATCCATAAATCTACTGAAATCGTCTTTGCTCACAGAACGGACGTGGGTTCTTTTAGAATTCATATTCTACTCACGTTCGGAGCGCGGTCTTATACCGTGGTCGGGGCAGACATACTTCACGGGCCAGTAGCACTGCACTACACTACAACATCTTTTGGTGTCTCAGGAGCGCATTGCTATTAATATATTATTCTCTAAGTAGTTGGCTTAATTTAGCGTACCAGTCGCCTCCCTCACTGAAGGGCGGCTGACCATTGACTTCTGAGGCGGATGTTCTCTGGACCACCGCGCACTCCCAACGAAGTTCTGTTACAAGCCCTACTTGCTGGACTTCGTCTTTCTGCTCAAGGTTGGCGGCTTTGAACGCGACTTCCTGTCGTTCCGCCATGGATCCGCCAACGAACACTGATTTAATGAATGTAGATGAAGTCGCTGTACCGCCACCGAACCCATCGAACCCACCGAACCTTCCGAACCCACCGACTCAAGCGAATCCACAACGAACCACCGAACCGGCTAGGGATGCTGGCGGCTCCGCCGGTCCATCCCGTGGCGAACACGAATTGGTGGAGCTGAAACTCCAATTAGTCCAAGCTGAAATCGAACTCGCCAAAATCAAGAACTCTGGAGCTGGCCCGTCAACCGCACCAGTTCCGGTGGTGAGTCCTGTTACTACGAATCTTGCGCATACCGAACCCCGATTCACGTTCCGAATTGAACCACCGCAGCCAAGCAAGTCCAATAGTCTTGAAATGTTTGCCAACGATTTTCAAGACTGGGTCGCCAAGTACACACCGAACAACACCGATGACGCCTTGTGGCAATTGCGTCACGCGATGCGCGAATACCCACCTGGCGCTCTGGACTGGCTTTCCGAATACCGCACCGAGTCACATAATGCCAACAAACCGATTGTTTTACCGGAGCTGTTAACCGCGTTCCTCGATTACTTTGAACCGAAGGTACGCGACAGGGAAACTGAATCACTTGAATCTTTACTGAAAGGGGAGATCCGAATGGATGCTTCAAAAGGGGTAGCTGAATACGCTGTTCGTTTTCGTGAAGTCGCTCGCCGTGCTAAGTTTACCGTTCAGAAACCGCTTGCGAAATTGTTTTATATGGGATTGATTCCTGAACTCCGACCGCTTTGCCGAGTTGATCTTCGTGGTGCTGAATTTACCGATCTTGATACAATTGTGCAATTTGCACTTACTGAAGAACGAAGATTGCGAGCTCGCGGGCAGGGTCAATCTCGCGCGGCTCTTCACTATGCTGCTGCCGCTTCCACGAAAACTAAGCACCGCTTTTATGGCTCCCGACAGGATTCTTCGAAGCTCTCCGGCAAACGAAACACCGAACCGCAACCGTGGCGCGATGTTGTTGCGAAGCGCGTCCGGGCGGACCGACCTCCGGCTACCGAATCCACCGTGGTGGCTGGAACTGCGACCAACGCCATGAACTCCGTTCGTCCGCCACCGCGTTCCGTTGCGCCTGCTGGACCACCGCCTCCGATCCCTGGACCCCCGATACTGGTACCTCCACGACCTCCGTCTTCTGATGCGAAGATGTCGGTTATGCAGGCGGCTTTGAACAGGCCCAACGAACCGTCGCGAACTCCGAATCCTCTCCGTTTAGGTACTTTCCTTACGAATTGGGAGAAGTACCAATGGATGCAGCAAGGAAAGTGCTACCGTTGCGGCATTCAGAATGACCACATCAGCTCGCGCTGTCCGAACCCGCTGGTAACGCCGGAGATGTTTCGTCGGCCAGAGAACCCATAGGAGTTTGCCCAGTCGTTTTCGTGTGGCACGCGTACTGGGGACATGAATTCGCATGATTTCCGAATTATTGATTATGAGTTGTTGCGACAACTAGAGCGTCGAATTGGACGAACGTTTTCTTTGGACGCTGCTGCGAACGATGATGGAAGTAATTCTGTCTGTAAGATGTTTGCTTCACCGACCCGCTCCTTTCTCAATTCCGATTGCTCTGGCCACACTATCTGGATGAATCCTCCCATGAAATTGTTATCCGATTTTCTCCGTCATTACCACCGTTGCAAGAGTTATGATCCTAGCATATCCTCTTGTATTTTGATTCCAACCGAACAGAAACGAATACGACCCTATCTGAAAGACATGACACGACTTATGATTTTACCGTCCGGAACTCAGTTGTACCGTTCATATCGGGTTGGTTGTCCAGATCCCCCGCCTGAAACGAGCACTTATGAAATTTGGTGGGATCCACCTAAAGGAAAACCGATTGAGCCGAAATGTTCTATAACCGAAACCGATAATCAGTTGCATTTATTTGCTGGACGCCTTGGTGCTAATGCTGTACGAGTTCTTCCGGACACTGGCGCTACGCACTGCTTCATTTCCCAGCTCATGACTACCAAACTTGGCTTGCGGATCTTGCCTACACCGCTTGCTCCAGTGCGCCTAGCCGACCAGTCGACCGTACCTATTCTTGGTGAGTGTCGAGCTCGTTTGCGCCTTGGTAGTTTTGGTACCGATATCCGTTTGCTCGTTTTACCGGCTTTGACTGTATCGGCGGATGTGATCCTTGGCACGAACTTCTTAACCCGTTATGATGCGCAATTAAGGCCTGCGCATAGCGAACTGAGTTTATTACGGCCAAACGGTGCGCGATGTACGTTGCGAGCGATGCACGCCCCGTCTTCTTCTGTTTCCGAATCACCGAAACCCGAATTTCTGTTGTTGGAAAGAGCGCCAGCTCGCACGTCTGTGGTATCCGCGGAGCGCGCGTTTAGAGACCTTTTCGAGTCGCCCGGCTCGCGTGGGTTGCTGGTTGTCGTGAAACCGTTAACCGAATCTACCGCACATCCTCCGACCAGCCTCATTCCTCAGGTCAATTCTCTCGAACTTCCACCTGAAATCGAAACGAACCGAACCTTAGCAACAATCTTGCATAAATATGCGGATGTGTTTGCTCCGATTTCCGGGCTACCTCCTGACCGTGGGGTACATCATACAATACCGTTAGAGCCAGATGCACAACCGATTTACCGTCCTCAGTACCGTTTGACACCGTTGGAAAAGGAAGAAGTTGAAAAGCAGGTCAAGGACTTGCTGGCTAAAGGGTTTATTCAGCCCTCAACATCTCCTTTTGGTGCGCCAATTCTCTTTGTGACCAAGAAGACCGGTGAACTCCGTATGTGTATCGATTACCGAGCCCTAAATCGATTAACGATTAAGAACAAATATCCGTTACCACGAATTGACGATACGCTAGACCGGTTAGCGGGAGCACGAATCTTTTCTGCTCTTGACTTGGCTTCTGGTTATCATCAACTCCGAATTCACCCGGATGACGTCCCGAAATCTGCTTTTAATACACCGTTGGGACATTTCGAGTGGTTGGTGTTGCCTTTTGGGCTTTCCAATGCTCCTGCGACGTTTCAAGCAACCATGAACCGGATTTTCGCACCGTATATGCACCGATTTGTCACTGTATATCTGGATGATATTCTGATCTTTTCGAAAACTCCGGAAGAACACGCTGAGCATTTGCGTTTGGTTCTTGAAACGCTCCGAAAACACCAACTGCACGCGAAACTTTCGAAATGTGAATTCTGGAAAACCGACGTCAAGTACCTTGGTCACATCGTAGGCTCTGCTGGTATCCGAATGGACCCGAATAAGGTGGACACGATCCGAAATTGGCCACAACCTAAGGACCTAAGTGAGCTGCGCGCCTTCGTTGGCCTTGCGAATTATTTCCGACGATTTATCCGAAATTTTGCGTCCTTGGCCGCGCCACTTACGGACCTCTTTGGCAAACCGCGCCTCCCGGATGAATGGCCACCTCAGGCGCTGGCCGCATTTCAATCCATTAAAGAATGCCTGTCCACCGATGTCTTACTGCATTATCCGAACTTCTCGAAACCGTTTGAGCTTGTTTCCGACGCATCGCTCAATGGAACCGGTGCCGTACTGTTGCAAGATGGTCGTCCGATTGCTTTCAC